CATGTCATGCAATGCCTGCGGAGGTCATAAGAGGCTGTCGGATCCCCTGGGGCTGGAGTTACGGACAGTTGTTAGCTGCTATGTGGGTGCTGGGATTCGAACCTGGGTCTTCTGTAAGAACAACCAGTGTTCTTAACCACTGAGCCATCTCTCCAGCCCCGCTTCTCAGTTTTATACCTGAGGAAATACTTCCTGTTTCATAGCGTATGAGTAGAAAAGACCATAACCCACTTATGTACCTTTTTTGGACTGGTTTTAGAGAAAGTATCAGGTGACTGAACTTTTTCCCCTATTATAGTTTATCTCCTCCCCAGCCCCTCCCTATCCTTATTGTCTACAGGGTCATCTTCAGTTTCCTCCTACTCTGAGTCATAGTTTTTCTCTGCAATAGTTTACAGATATCCCATTCTTTGTATCCTGTTGTTTCCCTGATGGGCAAATAAATGTTCTCTTAAAATTACAAATTTTGAAGTAATATAGGAAAAAAGATGTAGGTAAAATTGGGGGGTCCCAAATCTATATATGTTATTGGAGAGGGAAGTACAGTGTGAGAAACATCATGGGCAACTAAGAGACAAATTTTATAGAAGACAGAACTTACTACTGGAGTTAATGTAGCACAGGAGATTGAGGGAGGACTGGAGTACAGATCTCAAAACAAAGGGTCATAAAAGGTGTTTGAAGACTTTGGAGAGTCATTAAACTGATGATTTTTTAAATAGTGCTATTTGGAGATGATGAGGAAGCAGAGGGACTTTGAACTGATAGTTTAAAAACACAGCAGTAACAATAGGCACAATGTCAGGCTCAGTAGATACGTGAAGAGTAGAAGGGGTTCATTTGAAAAATATTTAAGGAGAGAGGGCACTTATAGCTTGGTAAGCCTAGAAGAGCGAGTGAGTGACTCTCAGGTTTCAGAATGTGTTTGGAATTAGAAGATGGGTAAGGAGATGGCACTTTTCATGAGGATCTATAAGCCTAATGGGCCAAGGCATCAATCTTTATGTCTATAAAAGGCCCTGGGACACACACTGAAACAAATCCCGTAGGCAGTAAGAGACGTCTTCTTTTGAATGAGACAGACTGAATGCCTAATAAAAGCTAAAAGGAGACTATGTAGTATGGAGAGAAAAGGAAGTGCAAACTGACATTTTCTTTTTTTCTGTTTTTTGCAATCAATCCTGGGGTTTGAACCCAGGGCCTTACACATTCTAGGCAAGCGCTGTAGCACTGAGCTGTATCTCTAAATGATGTTATCTAGGGGAGCCTTTGAAAAACATGAGAGGAGTAGGATGGCATAGAGGGTAAGGATGTGTATATGCTTAATCTCACACATAGAGGAGAACTTGAGATGGGTAGAAAGTAATGCTGAGATTAAGAGATTTATGTATAATGTGCCAATGCTCTAAACTGCTGAGCCATCCCTCCAGCCCCTATTTATAATGTCTTTAAAAATAACCTGACACAAAAAGTAGGAATGCTATTTTCAATGTATAAAAGACCATTCGTTACATTAATCTTTTTATTTCTTAATTTATTACTCTGGGATAATCTGGGAATTCTGAATTTTAGACAGTTAAGCATATAACTGGAATGTGTTTGCATTTTTTCCCCTAGAATGTAATCAGGTTTTCTAGGTATGCATAGAGGTATTGATTTTTTTTTTGACAGTGTCATAAGAAAGATACCGTGCTACTTGAATATTAACTGCATTGTGCTACCTCATTATCAACTAATAAGTATATGTAAATATACTTCTTGATTGTGCAAGAATATAGTTTTCTAGAATTTTTCTATTCAAATTTTAACTCATTTTGATTAATAAAGTTGAGAAATATTTGGTTTATTATCATGTTTATTAAAGATTTGTTCAACAATATTTGAGTAACCTGTTTGTATCAGGCCCAGTTTGAGGCCCTGGGAATAGAGGACCATACAGCCTCCACTGAGCTTCTGTTTTAGTTGGGAAGACAGGAGATAAGCAAGTCTGTCGTGAAGAAGATACATACTGTGAAAAAGATGTGACACAGGGTAGGAGGAGAAGGTATTTAGGTAATTTCATCAGGGAGTGTTCTGAGGGAAGCAGAAATTCAAGTGAAAAAGAAAATTTTGCAGAATCATTTCAGGCAGAGGGAATAGCAAATGTGAAGACTGAGTCAGACTCAAGCTCAGTGAGAACCAGTTTAACATGTTTAAGGAAAAGCTAAAAAGCTGGTCTGACAAGAGCAGTGAGAATAGAGGGGAACAAATAGGAAATGAGGGCAAGGAGGTAGGCAGAGGCTGAAGTAGATTGGACCTTATTAAAGCCCGTGCATTTTATTTTGAGTATAAATGGAGGCCACGGGCCATCTTTAGTCAGAGTTATGACATGATCCAGAAGGGTGTGGTGTCGCATACCTCTCATCCCTACACTTAGGAGGCAGAAGGAGGAGAACTCTTATAAATTTGAGACCAGCTTGGTCTACATAGCAAGTCCAGGCCTTCCAGGGCTACATAGTCAGACTCAAGGGAAAAATGGGAAAAATAATTATGGAAGCTTTGCAGTGAATTAGGTAGGACTATGGTTTCCAGTGTACAAGGAAAAAACTGTTAAAATTGTATCTGTATTTTAAAATTAAACCTTCCTGGTATTTAATGTATGTTGGCTCTGGAGCCCCCCATTCCACCTACATGTTATTTCTGTGATGTCACTTGTCAGTTTTGACCTAAGCAACCAGGTAAATGTGAGTGCCATTTACTGTGGCAAGAAGACTGAGGGAAGAGCAGCTTTGTTTGCAATGGAGAAGGGAGTGAGTAATTTAGTATTGGGCATTTTGAGTTTGAGATGCCTACTTGACATTTAATGTGATTTGTGAGGTAAGTGATGAGTCTGGAGCCAGGATCAGAAATCAAGATATAAGAGATCTAAATTTGGGCATCTAGCACATAGGCAGTATACCAACTTTGTGAGTGGACATTTCAACTTTAGTATAGAATTGTGGGCAAGTTACTTGACCTTCCTGCTTCATTTATCTCATTCATAAAATGAAATTAGTTGCACACCTGTAGTCCCAACACTTGGGAGACAGAGGGAAGTGGATCTCTGTGAGTTCAAGGCCAGCCTGGTCTACATAGTAAGTTCCAGGACAGCTCGGGCTACAGGGAGACCCTGTCTCAAAAAGACCAAAAAAAAAAAAAAAACAAACAAAAAACAAAAACCCAAAACAAACCCTTGAGATTAGATAACTTAGAAATAATGTAGGTAGAGAAATGGACCAAGGAAGAAGTCCTGAAGTATATACCACCTTCAGAATTCTGAAACTGTAAGAAGAAATTGAGGACTCACAAAGGTTGCAAGCCTGTGTAGCCTGCAGAGAAGCCATCAACTTGGAAAATTTCTGCTTTAAAGGTAAAGTAAGGGCCTAGAAATGATCATTGAACTTGTCAAGATGGAAATTGCTTGAAGATCTTGTGAAGTGGTCTCAGTAGACTGGTGGGAACAGTAGCCTAATTGGAGTGGATAGAGATTGGAGGTACTTAATTGGAATGTCTTGAGTATAGATGACACACTTAAGTTTTGCTGTAAAGAAGTTCAAGAAGGGCCAGTGAGAAGGCTTAGCCAGTAAAGGCAGGTACAGGTGCTTACATCTAAGCCTGAAAACCCAAGTTAACCCCAGGGACCTACATGGTAGAAGAAGAGAATTGGCTCCCATGGGTCATCCTCTGTCCTCTACATGCTGTCTGACCCTGCCCCACCAGTAAATAAATAGATTTTAAAAAAAAGAAGTACAGGGAAAATGGAGTAGAAGATAGAGAAAAGCCAGTGTGGTCAAGGAAAGGTGGTGGGGGTGGGGGGTGTTGATTTAAAGACAGCATTAGTACAGTTTGTATGCTAAGACTGACTCTGAGAAGAGGAAAATGGTGACAATTCAGTAACATTGGAAAGTGTAACAGCCATAACTTGAGTAGGTAAAATGAGGGTAGTAAGTATATAAGCAGAGCAGTAAGGCATTGGAGAGATAGTTCTCCCATTGATGAAGTTAGAGAATGTAATGAAGGTACAGATAGGTTGGTAGATTTGGTTATGGGAAAATCAGGTGGTTTTCTCTAGTTGCTTTAATTTTTCTTAAAAAAAGGCAGGATTGCCACTTCTGAGTCAGAAATAAGGAAGAGTTTGTGATAGAGAGAGAGGAGGTGGTGTTGGAAGAGGCATTTTGGAAGGTAGAAAATGAATTGACTAGGGAAAATCTGGCAGGCAGATTGCCGGAGTTTTGAAAGTTTGACATTTGTGATTTTTAGTTAAGTGATTCCAGTGGGCTAAGGAGGGTAGTGCAGTCCCTCCTCAGAAGGAGCTGTACAGTGAAAAGGTAGAGGTAATACCTTTTCTGCTTATGTTTTGACTCTCTAGCCCTATGAGAGATTATTGCTTTTGGAACATTTTTTAGGTCCTTAGGGAAGCAGTCACTGAAGAATTAATAAAAACGAATAGGCCATAGACCAAAAACTTCATCGTATTTTTGCCTATGTTCATTGTGTATATCATGTTTTATGATGCTACTAAAAATATTTTATATTACCATCTTTGAGTAATTCCTATTTTACACAAATGATAGATATCAAACAAACTCGGGACACTTTTCAGTATATTGTACTTTTTTTTTGCTGAGTTATATAAAGAAAACAAAATGTAGAGCTGGAGAATAGCTCAGTGTTTAAGAGCACTTGCTGTTCTTGCAGAGTACCCAGTTCCCACTAGTTTCCATTTATCTAGACTTACCAGTTGCATTGATTTGAATATCTTTATGTTTTTTCTTTCTTTTTTATTTTAGTTTTAGACAGAGTCTTCCTGTAGCCCCAGCTGGCCTAGAACTCACCAGACCAGGCTGGCCTCGATCTCACAGAGATCTACCTACCTCTTACCTTCCAAGGGCTGGGATCAAAGGCATGCACCACCAGGCCTACCCTAATACCTTTATACTTAATTGTAGAGAAACTAAAAGTCTGGTTTTGTTTTCTTTCAGGTGCTGGAGAATCTGGTAAAAGTACCATCGTGAAGCAGATGAAGTAAGTTTAAACAGGGCCTTTTGTAAGACGGGATTTCCTCCCCCTGCATAAAAGTTCAAAGTATGTTTTCATTTTAGGTTCATGGTGTTGACTTCAGGTTTTTTCTTTTTAAAGAATCATTCATGAGGATGGCTATTCAGAGGAAGAATGTAAACAGTATAAAGTAGTTGTCTACAGCAACACTATACAGTCCATCATTGCAATCATAAGAGCTATGGGACGGTTAAAGATTGATTTTGGGGAAGCTGCCAGGGCAGTAAGTATATCTCATTTCCTGTTCACTTGCTATTATTCAGTAGGTAGAGTTAAGCCAAATTTGAGTCATGTTTTAAAGAACAAGAAGATAAGATGAAGCAAAATACTGTGCTGATTTGAGAAGTGCTAGCAGTCTGCTTTAGAAGATACTAAGTTTCTGCCACAAGAAAAGCCTAGGAAATGGGATTCTGTAGGTATACTGCAGATACACTGCAGGTTTTGGTGATCACTGTTCTATTTATTTGCTTCCTCTGCAGCACTATTGACTTTTATTTTATAGTAGTTGGTAGTCATAAGTTAATCTCTAAAAGAAAGATTGTAATGCTATTTGGCTCTGTTTTCAGAGGAGTAGAGATCAAAGGCAAAAACCGGTTTCCCAGAGTAAGGACATAAGCATGAGTGCCAAGTGTCCCAAAAGTCTATCCCCCCCCCCTTTTTTTTTTGTCTTTTTGAGGCAGGGTCTCCCTGTAGTCCCAGCTGACCTGAACTCAGTATGTAGACCAGGCTGGCCTTGAACGCACAAGGATCCACCTGCCTCTGCCTCCCGAATGCTGGGATTAAAGGCATGCGCCACCACGCCCAGCAAGTCCATCACTTTTGAGTGATTTTCAGTTATTCAGAAATACTCTATTCTATATCACATTGATAGAATTGAATTGTTACTTATCCTAATATAATTGTTTAATGCTTTATACATGTCAGAATTTAAAAGTCATTAATTCTAATTATATTTAACAGACTTTAAGGGTTTAGTTTGTAAATTAAGATGTTTGATGCTAGTGAGGGAATGGCCAAAATGAAGACAGAAGACTTTTTATATTATCATCAATGGAATTTCAAGAAAATACTAGAAAAGTACAGGATTATTTTCAAAGGATGTCAGCTGTATTCAGTGACATAATACTTAAGCATCCTGGAAGAATAAGTGAACATGACCTAGAACTCACCAGACCAGGGGGGTCTTTGCCTAGAAAGACAGAACTTGTAGCTTAGGAAGTTTATGAGTTTATCAAATGCCAGTTAATAGTCAATGATTAAGTGGGAGGGTGACCGGGAAACTATTAAAAGGGCAGTTATGACTTTGGTTGGTTTTGAGTAGGAAATATCTTAAGGATGGAATAAAAGAATAGGACCTAGATTAAAGGTTGTGAAATAATGGGAGAAAAGAGTAACACAGAGAAGGGAAGCTATGAGAAGGACTCTGAGTTTTATAAAATGGTTTGCCATACCACATAATTTAGAGGATCACTTGTTAGGGATTAAATCCAGGACTTGAGCTGTGCTGAGTAAGTGGTTAAGTAAGCTATATCTAGCCCTGAGGGTGGACTCAAACTCACTGCAGTCCTCTTGCTGAGGCTATTTTACTGTTCGTCTGGGGAAGTTTGATAGTTCCAGTGAAATAAAGGTTTTATTTGTCTTAACCCTTTTCCATTCTTCCTCTCACATCTGCTTTTGTTTTAGCTTTTTCCCATGTTTTTACTTCATTTCTCTTTTTCTCTTTTCTCCCTATTATCTAACCACTCTCTTATGTTTGTTGTATCTGATAATTGGTCACTAATACTGTGTTTATTTTCTTTCTCTTTGTTGATTTCTTTCTCATTTATTTATTCCTCTTAGTTTCTCAAACCTTTTCCTTTTTCCCTTTTTATTTCTTTCCCACTGCCTGTCCTCCTGTGTCATTTATGTCCTGTATCATCATGGGCTGGAAAGATACCTCAGTAAAGTGCTTGCTCTGTAAGTGTGAGAACCAGAATTCCACCTCCAGAAGTCACATAAATAAGCTGGGTGCTATAGTGTATGTACTTGTAATCCAAGTACTGAGGAGACAGAGACAGGAGGATCCTTGGGGAATCAGTGAGGGCCAGGCCAATAAGACCCTATCTCAGAAAATGGTAGAACACCCGAGGTTGTCCTGTGGGCTCCATACACACGTGCACATATGTGAATGCATACACATACAAACTTGCCATTAATCTTTGGGTTCTAATACTCCTATATCACTAAATACAGCTGAGATTTTTTTTTTTTTTAAGATTTATTTTTAAATTTCATGTGTCTGTGTCTCTTTGTGTGGGGGTCTGTGCTTGTGAGTGCAGGTACCTGAAGGGGCCAGAAGATGTTGGATTCCTAGGAGCTGGAGTTACAGGCACTTGTGAGCTGCTTGGTGTGGGTACTGGGAACTGAACTTGAGTCTTCTGTAAGAGTAGTAAGTGCTTTTGACCACTGAGCCATCTCTCTAGCCCCAGAACTGACATTCTTACTCCTTTTCAGGACTCTTGAATCTTCTAGCTTTACAGCATGCACCTATCCTAATCATTCTTTTTTCTTTCATATGTAAAGGTTTGTATTTGTAGTTTTTTGTTCCTCTAGTTTTTATGGTTGCTAAGACAATGAATGGAGAAGAGTAGAGCTGAGTCTGGGATAATTTTCTTTTTCATATCTACTTAAAGGAAGAAGTTTATTTTAAGAGGAGACTCTTTATAGGCCTATGGAGAAGGGTTTATTGTGGGTTTATTGTGGGGAAGCAAGAGCAAGTTGGGGAGCAGTTAGTGGTAAGGGAAAAGTGTTTCCTCCTAAAAGACTACTGAGTCAGAACAGCACAAACATGAAGTAATGATTCCCTGAATTTCAAAGTTTCTAAAATTTGGATATCATGATATTAAACACCAAGTGCTTAATTAAGTTATTTGAATACCTACATGAGTTTAGATCAAATTTCAGGACCTGTGTAGTTTTCAAATGTTAGATAAAGCAGTATACTGTATATATTAAAAAAAAACTTACTTTTTAAATGTGTTTGCCGATTTGTATAATGCTTAAACATTTTAAACTTTTTCTTTTGTTTAAAATTTTTATTATTCAGGACTGAAGATATAGCTCAGTAAAAATGTACATGCTTTTGAAAACCTGGGTTTAATCCCTAGCACTGCAAAATAATTTCTTTCAAGTTTTTTTTGTCTTTTGTTTTTATGAGAGAAAGAGGGGTAGGGAAGGTGGCTCAGTGGTTAAGAGTACTTGTAAGTATGAAAACCTGAGTTCAAATCCTAAGCATCTACATTTAAAAAAAAAAATAAAAAAAAAAAAGGCCATGCATAGCCTCACGTACCTGTAGCCCCAGCACTAGGGGGTGAAGGTAGGCAGATCCTCAGAGCCTGCTGGCTGTCAGTCTGGCCAAAATGGCAAGATCCAGGATCAGTGAGAGATCCTGTCTCAAGAAAAAAGCAGAGAGCCATAGAAAACACCTGACGTATTCTTCTGGTCCTCTATGTGCACACATTGTCTTGTGTACATGTGTGCATACATAGCACACACTTGTCCCCCTCCCCCTAAATTTTTAAAAGAAACAAAATAAGAGAGGGGAAAGATACAGATCATAATTTTGTTACAGAGAAAATCTAAAAGCATTGCTAGAAGGAACACAGGATAGGACTATGAAGGAGTGAATAGTAATAGGCAGAGCTTGGCAAAATTAGAGTGCAATGTGGGCAGTTTGTGCTTAGCTAGATGCACAAGTTTTAGAGTTTGGGGTGTTATTTGATCTGAGATCTGAAATGTCTTTCTTTGTCTTAATGATTACTTACAGCTGTCCATAACTCCAGTTCCAGGGAATCCGACACCCTCTTCTGGCCTCAGTGGGGCATTGCATGCATGTGGTGCACTTATATACATGCAGGCAAGACATTCAAACACATAAAATAAAAATAATAAAGATATTTTAAAATTCGCAAGTAGGGATGAGTAAAGTAGAACCGTTAGCAGTCTCCTGGCCCTTCCTGACCTCTCTACCTCTCACTTATTTTGAATTTAAATATTTATGAAACAGTATGTAGAAGTCATGAGATTTGATCACTTTTCTGTTATCATTTTCCCCTTCTTGCTACCTTCTTTCTCCTCTCAGAACATCGTTAGTATTTCTTTGGGGGAAATCTAGAGACTTTACAGATGTCTCCCTGAGGGATTTATTTCCTTTGCTAGGCTTCAGCTTCTTAGGTGCTTTGGTCTCCTTGGGATGGCGGGTGGAAAAGTAAGCTTTTTCCTTAAATTTGATGAATGTTTTAGTTCCTCTGTTGTGTTTAGATTTTACTTCTTATGTGCTTGTCTTTTCATTTCTATTTGTGTGTATATGTATAACATACACGTGTTGTATGCATGCATGTGTGTGGGTACGCGCCCATATGTGGAGGCTAGAGGTCAACTTCAGGTGTTTTATTCTTCCAGTCCCCATCTTATGTTTTGAGACAGTGCCTGACTGAATCTGGAGTTTGCAATTTTGGCCAGAGTGGCTGGCCAGAGAACTCAGGGATCCTGGTGCTGGGGTTATAGGCACACAGGTCACTGCATCCAGCTTTTACATGAATCCAGACTTTGTCCACATGTTTGCACAGCATGTATTTTATCCACTGAGCCATCTCTTTAACCCTCATTTCTGTGTTTATTGTAGGCTTCCTTTAACAGAATGGGAATATATTACTTATACCTGTCTTACTGACAATGGTTTTCCTCCTGTTAGCAATCATGAGTTATCAGGATGGAGGTTCGTGAGCCAGTCAGAAGAGATCTTTTCTGAGGCTGGTGGTATGGCATGGAGAAATAAAGGAAGTAAAATCATTCCTTGGCTTAAAACTGTAGTAGAGTAAGGAGGAAGGGAAGACTTAATTGCAAGTTTTCCCATGCTACCTTGACAGAAAACTTCTGAAGAATGACTCTCTCTGTCTCTGTCTCTGTCTCTGTCTCTGTCTCTCTCTCTCTCTCTCTCTCCCTGTGTCATGGCGGGGGAGGACAGGAGACTGTCAGGGCAAGAGAGATGATTCAGTGGTTAAGAGCACTTGCTGCTCTTGGGATGACCTGGACTCAGTTCCTGGCACGCATATCAGGAGGCTCAAAACAGCCTGTAACTCCAGCTCCAAGGACTCCAACACTTGTCTTCTGGCCTCTGGGTACCTACACATATGTGGTGCACATATAGATAAGCAGGCACACACACATACACATAGAAATAAATAAATCTTTTTTAAAAACAAGACTGTCATCAAGTCTTAGAGAAATGGAGAATCATGTGTCTCTCTCTTAACTGCTTTCCTCAGGATGATGCCCGACAATTATTTGTTTTAGCTGGCAGTGCTGAAGAAGGAGTCATGACTTCAGAACTAGCAGGAGTGATTAAACGGTTGTGGCGAGATGCTGGGGTGCAAGCATGCTTTAGCAGATCCAGGGAATATCAGCTCAATGACTCTGCTTCATAGTAAGGCTTTTTTTCTTCCCCTGTGAAACTGTATGGAGAATAACTTGGTGACCCTAGAGAGAATTCAGTGTCCATTCTTAAAGAAATGTTTAAATACAGAAACTCTTAGAAGACTTTAGGATCCTTTGTTATGATTGACTCAGTTAATATATTTCTGTGGCATATTCATGGTAAGCAAGTGAAGGAGAGACATCTGGTAGAGGCAGGTGCTAGATCTCTTCTTATTCAAGTAACCTCTGTATAAGGTTAGACAGTGGCTAGCTAGAGGAGGTAATTAGAATTGGACATCCCTTTCTTTTGTTTTGTTTTGTTTTGTTTTGTTTTGTTTTGTTTGTGTTTTAAAGACAGGGTCTTAACTATGTAGTCCTGGCTGGCCTTGAACTCATAGAGCTCTGCCTGCCTCTGCTTCCTGAGTACTGGGATTAAAGGACTAACTTATGTATCTTTTGCCAAACTGTGAGATAGTGGGGTTTGCTATGAATGAGAATGCTGTATTACAGACGAAGCTGAATTGTCTTTTTGTCAAGAAAGTTCTTTTGAGTGTCTTAAAAAATTGGTAGTTAATACTTCTCTTTTATTGTCACATGTGATCCATTTTGACCCGTTACACATACTTAAGATCTGTATTCATAGTGTGCACTTTTAATGTACTTTTGGGGAGGGTTAGGTGAGAACTTGTTATCTGTATTGTATCCCCCTCTGTACTAAAAAAAAAACACTTTCAGTCATTAAGGTATTTGCTCCAGGGTTACATTTTACAATCCTCAGTCTATCATAAATTGTTAGAAGAAACTAAATGGTATTTTAAAAACTTACTCTCTCATTGGGAATGATTTGGAAAAACATGAAGAGTCCACTTTTAAAAAATGGCATTTTTCACTTTGCACATGCTGATAGTTTCCTTAATTCAGTGGTCATCAGAAGTAGATTTTTGAGAGCTTTTTCCATAAAACATTCAATAAGCTCTGAGTTCTCTAACTGCATGTAATTTCTAGAGTTGTCCCCGAGCCCCGTAATTGTTCATATATGCTTCATATTAATGTTAGTATTCGGTTTTATAGAGGATCATAATGATACACTTAAAATAGTATCCCCTGCTCTTCAGTTTTTTGCCAGAATTAATGAAGATTTAGCTTTTTAATCTCCCCACCTCTACTGCTTTTTTGAGACAGGATCTTGCTGTGTGGCCCAGGCTGGCCTAAAACTTACCTGTAGTCAATATATTGACCTCAAACTTGTGGTCCTTCTGTCCCAGCCTCCCCAAGTGCTGGGTTTTTAAGCATGCCCACCTAGGAAATATTCTTGTTGAATATAGTTCTCTTCTGTATTCGTAATGCAGATGCCATTTTCTAATGGTCTGTCTAATGGTTAAGTATGTAATTGACATAAAAACTTAAATATCCAAGAACTTTTGGTTTAATTTTTTTTATTGGGTTGTTTTCTGAAATAGGGTCTTTGCTATATATAGCCCAGGCTGTCGTTTAATTTTTTTTATTGGGTTGTTTTCTGAGATAGGGTCTTTGCTATATATAGCCCAGGCTGTCCTAGAACTTGTGATCTTTCTTCCCCAGTCTCTTGAGTGCTAAGGTTATAGGCCTGTGCACTACTATGCTGAGTTTGGTTTGCTTTTTCTACTGTTAAGTACGCAGCTCATTCATTTCATATTTTCAGGAATTTTTCTTTAAGAAAAATAACATTACCATGTTTTTAAATATTGGCCTTTGCCTTGTAATTAAAACTTCTTTTAACGTGTAGAACCTACTTTAATTGTCCTATGCTAGATTCGCATTTTTATTTCCTCATCATTCTGTGATACTGAAGATTTACTATTTCTGTCTGTTTAGTGACAGGTTCAGGATCTATTTATATTGGTTGGTTGGTGTGGATTCACCTTAGGGCTTTGGACATGCTAGGCAAGTGTTCTATCACTGAGCTATATCCCCAGTCCCCAAATCTACTTTTGACAAGCAACTAGTTTAGTCTGTTTACCCATCATGCCCATGGTTGGCTTTACCAAGTAAAAACTAATGTATATTTTATTTAGTTACCTAAATGATTTGGATAGAATATCCCAAACCAACTACATTCCAACTCAGCAAGATGTTCTTCGGACAAGAGTGAAGACCACAGGCATTGTGGAAACGCATTTCACCTTCAAAGAGCTGTACTTCAAGTAAGTCATTAGCTTTTTTTGCTGATTGTGTCTTGCACAAATGCCCTATATTTATTTGTTTTTGAGACGAGGTCTTCTGATGTACCTCTGCCTGTCTTAGAACTTGGTACATAAATCAGATTGGCCTTAAACTTGCATTGATCCTTTTACCTCTGCCTCCTGAGTGCTGGTATTACAAGCATACACCACCATATATACCTGGCTATGCCTTAGTTAACATGTCTTACTGAGGGTAAAATTTCTGTAAGCAGTTTCCTTGATTTAGAAAATTTATTTACCAGCCATTAGCTTAATGTTTCAATGGATAGAAGCTCAGGCTTTTTTTCCTTCTAGATAATATAATATTTGTAGCCATTTGAAGGAAGTTAAATTCAAAATTAAATAATAACTTACCTGCCATTAGAATTAATCTTATAATTACCAATTTGTGTTATTTTAAATTTTATCTCCAACTGCTTTTTTATTAGTTGCCAGAATAAATATTGAATATTTGTTAGACTAGCAACAATACTAAATGGGTTGAAAATCATCTTTTTTAGGTAGTTGGATGGCTTGTTTGTTCTGTCATTATAATATTAAAATAGTAATAGTTTGTGACTACTGCCACTCTGCTCTAATGGTTCCCATTTTCCTTTAAGTTTAATGGGGCAGAATTAAACTTGAAATGGCTCTTGGATTGAGATGTGCATAGCACATCTTAATTGTGCATGCACAATTAAGTTTGTAGTACAGTGAGTTTGGGAATAAAGATGTTGGGGTGATATAACATAAACAGCAATTATTTTAGAGAACATTCTAGTATTTTAAAAGAATTTTCTTATAGTGCTAGTACTTCTTAAGAAGAAAGCCTCAGCTTCTCTTTATGAATGGAATGGTCTTTTTAGAATAATAAAACTGTTCTTAGCTCCATTTTCTGTATTTGTGACCTTTAAGGTTGTCAGTAAACTCTTCCCCTTCAATTCATGATTTCTTTTTAGTTACTTGGTTATGGCTGTGTGTGGAATGTGAGAGTCAGCATTATTGCACACAAAGGTAATGGCTACCTCAGATCTTCTGTTCTCTTTTCTCTGCGAACAGTTGCTCCTCAGGCTTTGTGAAATCCACATAGGTCTTACATACTAGTACAAACCAGTTGAGGCCTTGAAATCTTAACACATCAATCCAGATTTGAAACCTCGTGAATGGTTTTAGAGTAAACTGGTTGCTTATCTTAAGTATTGATGAATTTACTAAACAAAATTAGCAGAAACCACATGTATTGTCCTGCAAAGCATAGGAATGATGTTTCGTTGTGTGGTATAAAATTAGTAATTCACTTATCATTAAATACTGTGACCATTATTTAGTGTGGGGAAACATTTTTGGTTGATGATGTCATAGATTAGTCTTCAGTTAGGTAAATCCTGTCTTTCTATGCTGGAATCGGTAGACAGATCAAATTAGAGTGCCACACCCACTTTATTATTGGCATGTAGATATCTTATTATGAAGTACTATCACCTCTTCCTTTTCCTCTTCTCTCTAGGCAAAACCACTATCCATTTATTCAAACATTTATTGAGCATCTACCATATGCAAGGCATTGTGTAATTGCTTACTTGCCTCTCAGTTATGAGGTAATGTTTATAAAATGTTGATCTGTTAGTCAATAATACTGTGTTACTATGTACTAAAAGCCAGCCTTGGAATTCCAGTGTTCTGCTAGTTTTATGAACTTTATAGAAGAAAATGGGGAAGTAAACTGGAATTATTGGTGTATTAGTGTGTCTCCTTTGAAAGATTTGAATGGTGACATTTCAGTCAACCTTCTAAATTCTACCATATAACCCTGCATTAAGGCCAACTTGTGATTACACCATTTAGCTGTCAGGCATGACCAAAGGTTTCAAAGAACTGCAAGATCAACCAATAGGAAGAGTTGGGCCAGGAAGAGATAAGGCAAATGTTCCCTTTGAACATACTGAAAAATCACCACTAGCATCTTATTTCTCTCAGTCTTTAGAGCCCAAAAAAATCCCTGGAAATTTAGGCTGCTAGTTAGTGAGGATTTCAGTCACTGAACCTGTGCAGCCTACTTTAGTTTTAAAAATTTTTATCATTGTTGGGGGCGGGAGAGATGGCTCAGCAGTTAAGAGCACTGGCTGTTCTTACAGAGGACCTGGGTTTGATTTCAGCACCCACATGGTGGCTAACAACCATTCATAACTCCAGTTCCAGGGGATCTGACACCTTCATCTGACCTCTCTGGCATTACATGACATGAATACACTTATACACATACAGGAAATACACTTATACACATAAAAATAATAAAACATTAAAAAATTTTATCATTGTTAATAAATATGTATCTTAAAAAAATATCTGATCGTTTGAATGTGTACCTTATCAGACCCAAGTATGGGCTAAAGACAAATTCCTGTCCCTGGAGGAAGTAGGTTATTGACACAGATTTAGCACTTTGAGGACTAAGCCTAAGCTGGAGTGGAATATTATCTGAACAATTGAGGCTTTGCTGCTGCTAATTAGGTTCAAGAAAGATTGGGAGCTAGGAAATATTGGTCAAGAACTTTTTTTAGCCCAGGGTGGCCTTAAACTTGCTATTCTTATGCCTCAGCTTCGTAAATTCTGAGAATACAGTCATTGCTTATAAGCCTAGCTCAGGGATTAAAAAAATATATGTATGTATATAGATCAAGTTCTTAGACTCTTACAAGATAATTTTTTTTTCATAATTTTTCCAAAATGTTTTTCATTAATATAAAGAAAATAAGCTTTCAAGTCAGAATGAAAATTGAATATTTAGGGGCAAACCATTTTGAGAGGTAGCGTGAGAGAAAAACATACAGATACTGGAGTTAGAGTGGCAGAATGTCGAGGGTAGTATCTGGCACATGGTAAACAGTTATCAAATAGTAGTTGTTGCTATGATTGCAACTATCATAAGGTGTACTCTCCAGCTCTTCATTTTTCCTTTCCCCTTCTTCAGTACATTTTTAGTTCTTATTCTGCTGACTTTTGGCATATTCGATACAAGTTTTGGTAGGGAAGAGGCTCAGCTGTCTAAAATGAATTTAGAGTATTCCTAATTTTATTTGCTAATTTTATTCTCTAATTTTAGCCACAGACAATTATTTAGACATTTGATTTGCTCCATGTCTTTCCTATTATAAATATGAATATGTAATAATGGGAAGTTTCTTAATCACTGTGGTTTAGAGAGAGGTGTAAATGTGACTGTGCTAAATTTTTTTTTTTCTTTCCTTACCCAGAATGTTTGATGTAGGTGGCCAAAGATCAGAACGAAAAAAATGGATTCACTGTTTTGAGGGAGTAACAGCAATTATCTTCTGTGTGGCCCTCAGTGATTATGACCTTGTCCTGGCAGAGGACGAGGAGATGGTATGTTGATGCTTTCTGTAAAAGTCCGTCTTGATGCAGTGAGAAAACAAACACAGCTTCTAGCAGGGTGGCTTGCACCCATTTGCTCACTGAACCAAAACTTAGTGCCCCTTGTTTTTCTCCTTTTTAGTGAGGTGAGAGTTCCAAAATTAATTGTTCCTTGCCCTGTTTTCTCTTGATAGCCACATTATGTGGACAGCACTGAGTCTTCCATCCCTTGTCAGCCATCCCTTTCCACCTCCCAGTCCCCAAGAATATGCACATCAGGGTTGAGTCAGCTTCATGATAGATTGGTGCCTCACTTAGGAATTCATTTGGCTGTTTTAAAACCTGTTGGTATGATTTTTATTAAATCTGTTTTTCCTTTTTGCTATTAACTTGTCATTATCCTTTCTTTTCCAGAACCGAATGCATGAAAGTATGAAACTGTTTGACAGCATTTGTAACAACAAATGGTTTACAGATACTTCAATTATTCTCTTCCTTAACAAGAAAGACCTTTTTGAGGAAAAAATAAAGAGGAGTCCATTAACAATCTGTTATCCAGAATACACAGGTAAAGGTCATGAAAGACTTTGTTGGAAGTACATATCTTGGTTCAGCATTCAGGGGTACTCACTCAGCTGCCTGAATCGTTACGTAGTGGCTCATACCACTATTCATGGTATGGGCATTAAGCACATGTTTAAAAACTAAATTTTGGCTTATGTCCAAGGAGATAGAAAGTTGCAGTTATTGTTTAAGGAACTAACATCTAGTTTCAGAAAGATTTGCACATATAATTTTATTGTGTAAATTGTGCATTACCAGAAGTAGAAGTAGTAGTTCACTCATGATGGGGCCAGTGCTGTCTTTCCTGAGGAAAAATAGCAGTTGGAGTGAGTTATTAGAAGGGTGAATTGGCAGTCATCAACAGAATAAAAGCATTTAGAAAGGCATGACTGTGGTGCACATAAATACAAGGAGGCACATATCACATAAAGTAAATGAAAGAAAAAAGGGAATTGCACTATGACAGTATGGAGATTAAAAATGTCCTGACTTACTCTGGAACCTAGAAAGGAATATGGTATTGGTGGAGTTTAAAGTGGTAGGAGGGAGGGAGTAGTTGGAGAGAGTTGGCATCAGCTTACAGTATCTAATGCTGATGAAGTGAGGAACCAATGAAGGATTTTAATGGGTACATAATGTAGGAACAGGCTTTAGAAAGATTATGCAGCCAGGGGATATATCTTAGACACCAAGGGCAAGAATACAGATGGGCCTTAGAATGAAATTAGAACTGAAAGTAGCTGTGAGGCATCTCTATGAAGGAAGTGTCCTTTATCTTCATCTCTTTCCTCAACTCCATGTTTCTTCTTTCTTTTCTCTACTTACCAACTTTCTTTGCTACTCAGTTTCTATGATAAAAGATGGTCTTACCACAGTTTCCATCTCCTCTTTTAAAATAATGAGGTGCAACTGTTATTGCTTGACCTCCAGTTCAAATTTCTAGGAAAGAGATTCTGGTTAAGGTTAAGGGGATAAACATGACTGGCAGCACTGTGCTACTATGAAAGCCTGTAAATAGAGTCAGGTATTTTTTGGGAAGGGGACTCTTGTTTCCTGGGACACAGTAAGTTCTTTCTATAATAAAGTTAAAGGGTATAGCAAAGGCTAGGAAGTGGGAAATCAAAGCTACCCATACTTCTGTCTTGGTTGAATGCTTGTGCTACCATCTGAATTCATATTTAAGTATTTTGATTCTGAAGTATCTGTAGAATACCCAAATAGAATTATTTTTAAGTAGCTGTATATGTAGCCTAGGAACATAAGGAGAGGTTAGGTTAAATACGTAGTTTGAGATCTTCAATTAATACATTGGCGATAAGCGACTGGGGGGATGATATATAAAGTGAGGAAAAAAGATAAATTGAAAAAATACTAGCTTCAAGCTAGTGTTTTCTCAATTTATTTTTAAAATATATAAGATATAAAAGAGAATAACCACAAGAGCCACAAAGTGTCATAAAAAGCAAGGGAAGGGGCTGGAGAGATGGATGGCTCAGCAGTTAAAAGCACTGACCGCTCTTGCAGAGGATCTGGATTCGAATCCCAGCACCCACATGGCAGTTATGAACCATCCTTAACTCCAGTTCCAGGGGAATCTGAAGCCCTCTCCTGACTTCCGCGGCATTGCACGACATGGGTGCACTCATACATGCAGGCAATACACTCACTCATAAAAATAATAAATAAAATATTAAAAAAAAAAAAAGCAAGGGAAATGGATCAGCAAGATGGCTCAGCAGGTAAAGAAGGGTACATGTCACCAAGCCTGATAACTGAGTTCAGTCACTGGGATTCACATCATAGAAGGAGAGAAGTGACTCCTGAAAGTTGTCCTCTGACCTCCACTTGTGCCCTTGGCATGTATGAGCTCACATACATGTGCATACAACCACACATAAATAAGTAAATTTAAAAGAAAAAAAAGCAAGGGAAGTGTTTACTAAAGTGAGTGGTGGGGGGAAGTCAACAGTACTAGGTGCAGATAAATAAGGCACACTGGAAAATGGCCTTTGGAGTTGGCAGTTAGGAAGTCATTGACCATTCTTGAGAGTATTTAAGTAGAATGGTGAGTGTACAGCAAGGAGCTAAGCAAAGAAGTAAAGGCAAGCTGAGACTACCTTTCAGCCCTGTGGATTAAAAGGGAAGGAGAGATAGAAAATGTTTATATGCTAAGAACTAAAACCTATAAAGAGAAAGTAAGAAGAAGCAGATGTAATTGATGGAACAAGATTAACAAGCTGGTGGGAAAAGCAGAAATTAAGATTCTAGTTAAGATAAAGGGATAGAGACTAGAGAGATGGCTCAGCAGTTAAGAACATTGGCTACTCTTGCAGAAGACCCGGATTTGGTTCCCAGCACCCAAATGGCAATTAACAACTGTCCATAACTCCATTTCAGGGGATCTGATGCCCTCCTGGACATTGGGCTCTGTGGACATTGCATGACACAGGTGCACTTAACATACATGCAGGCAAAACACTCATATAAATAAAATAAACATAAATAAACATTTTTTAAAAAAAGCTTCAGGGATAAACAAATTGTGGTATATATGTACTGTGACTATCCATAAAAGGGACAAAATACTGATAGATGATCTATTTTAGATGAACACAGAGCATCACATATACTGTGATTCCTTTTATGTGATATACTCAAAAGAGACAAATTCGTAGAGAAAGAAAGCATATGGGGAGTGGGCGCTGTGTAATAAGAGTGTTCTAGAATGGCAAAGAAGCTCTGAAACTAGTGGTTGCACAATGTTATGAGTATACTAAATGTTCTGATATTATATACTTTAAAATGATTAAATGTATGTTCAGTGAAATTCTCTTAAAAAAAAGCGGGGGGGCTGGAGATATTGGCTCATGGGTTAAGAACATTTGCTGTGGCCCCACATTCAGTTCCCAGTACTCAGATGGCAACTCACAATTGCTTGTAACTCCAGTTCCAAGGGATCCAATGCCCTCTTCTGGCCTCCATGGGGCACCTGCAGGCATGTGGTGCATGTATATATATATATATATGCACACATACATACACAGGGGCCTACACATATAACACAAAATAAAAGAAATTCAATAAATCTTTAAAACAGTAATTTAGGGCTGGATGTTTAGAGTGTGAACTCCTGTTGTAGAGGACCCATGTGTGGTTCCTAGTACCTGTATTAGGCAGCTTACAACTGCCTGTAACTCCAGCTGAGAGAATCGAGTGCTCTTTTCTGGCCTCAGAGGATACCTGCACTCTTGCATGTGTGCCTGCGCTTGTACATATACATACACACATTTAAAAATAAAGCCTTTTTGTAAAAGAATAATCTTTGCTGGGTGTGCTAGTGCAGTCCTTTAATCATAGCACTTGAGAGGCAGAGGCAGGCAGATCTCTGTGAGATCGAGGCCAGCCTGATCTACGTAGAGAGTTCCAGGCCAGCTAGGGCTACAGAGAGACCCTGTTTGAACAACAATTTGTATAGCGCCATTGATCGCCTCACCCCCATCCCTGAGAGCAGCACCACCATTGGCCTCACTACTAGAGCCATAGATTTTTTTTTTTTTAATAGGATGAAAAATAGCACTTATACCAGAGTAGAGATACTGGGGGTCTAAACTGTTGCAATATAGCTTATACAGCTCTGGCCTCTGTTGTCTCAGAAATGTTAGCAATGTCATCTGTTCAGAGGGAGATGAGAATTAGATTAATTTATAGAAAGTAAATAAGTTTTTGAATGGTGAGAGAAATCCTAAAGTGTTGACACTGATGTTGAGATGGCTCATTACACAATTAATGACCATTCACTGTCGTATCCATTTTGTTGTGAATTCCTAGCCTGTTTTCCATTGGCTTTGTTTTTAGACTTAAGGATTCTTGCAGTCCCGATTTACCAGATATTAATGTGTTCTTACTGGATAAAATTCACTTTCCTCTTAACCCTATTTAATTTACAGGCTTTCCTACAGATCTTAAGAAACTTACTTTTGGCATCTTTATTTTATGTAATATTCCTTGTTATTTACTCTTCATACTTAGTTGTTTTGTTTTGTTTTTTGTCACTGAAAATAGCCTCTGGTTTACTGAAATAGTGTGTGTACTGTCTTTATAGTTTCCCTGGCTTTAACAACCAGGTTCTAAATCTATTAAAGGCTTCCTAAGTCCACAAGGTGATGTAAAAAGTAGATGATTAAGAGTTAATTATAAAGGATGAAAATTAGGTTTACTGTTGTTCTCTTTTTTTTCCCATTCCTTAAAAAGAAACAGCTTCTTTAAGAGTGTTAGCCAGGCATGTGGCTCAGACCTTAAGTCCCAGGCAAAGATGGGAAGTCATGAATTTGAGAGTGGTCTGAGACTAGAGTGAGACCTTGTTTCAAGTGAAGTGTGTGATTGGGGTCCCACTTTTTTTGCATCTGTTAGTTTGCCTTTGATTATGCCTCCTTAAAACTGGAATGATTTTGAAAAGAATGCCTTAAAAATTGCTTGTTTCAGGATTACTTCAAGAAGCTGACTCTGACCTTTTGAACAGTTGTATTCTCTAGAAATGTACCCTCCTACTTTTCTTGTTTCTTTGTGTACTTCCTAGACTTCTTTTTTTTTTCCAGCGGAGAAGTCTAAATGAAAGGGCAGAGTAAACCTTGTTATTTTCTTGAGTTCTTGTGTGTAATGATTTTATTTTAGTTACAGTGGGAGTCTGCTTTCATGAAGAATCTGACTATTAAAAAACCTAATGATTATAGACATAGAGAATTCTGTTTGTAATCAATTGTGTCTCTCCCTCTCCCTCTCCTCTCCTTCTCCCTCTTCTTCTTCCTTTCCCTCATTCCTCATTCCTCATCCCTCATCCCTCATCCCTCTCCCATCCTCTCTCCCTTTCCTTTCTTCCTTTCTTTTTGCTTTTTTGAGACAGGATCTCCCTGTAGCTCCTGCTGGCTTAGAAGTCTATGTAGCTGAAGCAGGCCCCCTTCACACAGAGGTCTGCATGCTTCTGCCTTCTGAGTGCTGGGATTAAAGGCGTGTGCCACCATGCCCTGCATGTTCCCTTTCTTAAGTAAATGATGACCTAACTTAGCTGAGTGCAGGCAACTGATGATATTGGTTGTCTGTTTTAGGTTCCAATACATATGAAGAGGCAGCTGCTTACATTCAGTGCCAGTTTGAAGATCTGAATAGAAGAAAAGATACCAAGGAGATCTATACTCACTTCACCTGTGCCACAGACACCAAAAATGTGCAGTTTGTTTTTGATGCTGTTACAGATGTCATCATTAAAAACAACTTAAAGGAATGTGGGCTTTATTGAAGAAGGTGGCATTAGTAAAAGGTAAGACCTCAGACAGTTTAGTTACAGGGTTGTAGTGTTCTCTTGGCTTTGTCAATCTTTTCCTAACAAGAATGTTTTTCTTTTTCAGTTACTACAAGTGGAGTGTTGAGACCGGAAATCTTCTGCTGTCTCTTGCGGCAGCTACAAGCATGACAGGACCAGGGAATGGCAGCAGCATGCAGAATCTTAGCACTCTTTAGCACAATCTTCTGTATTAGGGAATATTTAATTGACATGAGATGTTCAAGTCAGACATTGGAGTTGCAACAACTGTAAAGTATGAATTGATCATCAAGAAATCACTGGATTTTTTTAATCTCAAATATTTAGGGCATATCTGACGTTGAGGTGCTGCATTCCAGAACTTAAATATGTAGCTGACTTTTTTCTCCTTTTTAACAAACCACCGATAGTAAATTTCTAAAGTTGTTCTCATCAAGAGTTGAGTAACTCTAGTGTATCCTACTTATTTGCAAAAGAATCTTTATGAAAACAGTCTTAACTATATTCCACAATTAAAATTCTTCCAGTCATTTGGACTATAATAAATACAACCTTTTTGAATGGAATTTATGTTATGATCATGTTTAAAGTACCATGATGGTTTCTAAACAGTAGTCACTTCAGACAGTTCTGCAATAAGATTCTAGCTCATTTCTTTAAGCTTATGGTAGAAGGTTAGCCTTGTTTATGCTGATTACCAAATTACTAAATAAATGCTTATGTGATATGATAAAGTCAGCTTCTTGGATACAGACACACCCAAGACAGCCATCAATTAGAAATAAAAATTGCCAAATTCAGAACCAGTGACTTTGCTGCTACATACCTAGTAAATCGACCACTTTGGTTCTTGCTTGTTTGTCTTAGTCATGGCAAGTTCTGTATAAAGTGCCCTTTGTTTTCCATCTTTATGGCCATTATATTGGGAGACATCTAAAGTATATTAACAGTGCATGCTTTTACTTTGTAAATGTGGTGCCAAATCCCTGTTTGCCATTGTTTTTACCGTAGCAATGTTAACTGTAGTAGTAATCCTTAGTCAGTACATTTTTTTCCTAAAACTCTTGTATTTTGGGGCTTTTTTTCCACTTTGTCATGTGTACAGATTTTAATCTGTTATAGTTGGCAGCAGTATTAAAATGGTGAGTAAAGAGTCCAGGATTGCTTCTGTTTGTAACCATTCCTTTCTGGAAATAACTGTCTTCTGTTTCTTTTTGGCCCTGTTGAGTGTGCCTTTATGTGAGAATGGGTTTAAGCAGAGGGGTTCCCTGATATGATATTATTGTCAAACCTAGGACTGAGGGGCTTTATGTACTATCTGTACAAGTGATATGCCATCATAATCTATTTACAGACTTACATTTTGTTTATGTGGGGAGCTATAGTCCTTTTGTACAATGTACAGCAAATGTCATTACATACTGAGTGGACCACTGTGAGAAGGCAGACAAAGGGAATGCATTTTGAGCATTTCAAATCAGTAGTTTGAACAGTGCCTTTTGAGGGCCAGTCTTTTTGGATTGGATCTCATTTCATCTTTTGATGTTACTTGATTGCAAAAAGATTGGTGGTTATTGACACTGCTTCAGAAAGCAAGCCACAACCAGTCAGTGCCTCTGCTGGTAGCTTTTAAAATTTTAATTCTTACCTGTTTTGAAAAATTGTTACTATACAGATGGTACAGCTATTATCTAACAAACATTTCTTTAGGGCTAGGAAGAAAGGAAAGTAGTGGTTTTAGTGAGTGATTGACTTAGTGTCCACAGGGTAGGAATTGATAAGTCTTACTCAGTTTGAATTTATTCTCTATTGTATTTTTTAATACAGAATCATCTGGAAATGAGAACTAGTGAAATACTGTTTTCATAATTTTTCTGTACTTTGGGTTTAATGGAATGGTGGTGTTGATCTAAAATAGTAGATAAGCCAAGTTTAATTTTACTTCAAATTGCATCATGTATTTTCTTTAGAATTATCTGGTATGTTCATTTTTTAAGCCTTTAATGAAAAATAGAAGTTCTCTAGGTTTTTTGCCTCTATATACCATCATTATTTGTTCTGTTTACATGAAGATCATTCTAACCTTACCGTCTCAAGTACATTCCTTTAGGACAGAAGGGAGGCATTTTGAGTTTTCAAATATGACTTTAGGACAAAATCATCTAGAACTGTTTAGCAATCCATTCTTGGCTGGTGGACTGTTAATCTGTAATGATTTCTCTGGAAGTTTTGTGATGGATAATGTTCAAACTTAGGTGGCCAGACCTTTGGACTACTTAAGAAGTCAGCACAACTAAGAAAACTAAGTTTAATTAATGAAGAACAGTGATAGACCGTATCAGGAAGGATGGCAGCAATAGCTTTTTTTTTGGTTGACAGACACATTTTCTCTTGAGTGAAACCTTAGGCATTCTCTTTCTGTACTGTCTTCCCTCACCTTATCAATACAGCCTTGTAATAGATGAGATCTTCCATAAAATCCCAAAAGCTAGCACAGTTATAAATTTATAAGTGAATCTTGATATTTCCATCTTGGATATTTTGAATTCTAAATTCCAAATCTCTAGCTCCCTGTATCATCATTTAACCGATCAGTTGTTGAACAGTTGTTGTTCACAAGGTGCTGACATCATAGAATAAGTGGACCAATTAAAGGAAAAAAAGCCATTTTTCTTCCTTTTAGAATTTTCTCATGTGCATTGTTACATGTACCTTTTAGACTATTTTTTAACTAAAAATAACTGTTGGCTTTTCTAATCCACTCACCTTTTCTATATTCTTACTTCTTGGTCACTATTTTCGATTTTGTAGCTATGACTTACTTTAGACATGGCTTCTTTGGCCTGATTAGTTATATCCATATCTTTATACATTTGTTTAGCATTTGTTGCAGGACTCCTTAGTTTACTGCAGTTACATAGAAAGTACAGTCACCCTCTCATTCTAATTAATAACATTCTTTGGCCCTTTTCTCCTTCCAGGTATTAAAAAAATGTAACCACAGGCTTCTATTCAAGGCTGAACTAGCCCTTTAGTGCTACTGCTTGTGGAGTCTTCCCCTTTCATTATATTGCTGACTGTACGGAAAAGGTTGTCTTAGTTGCCTCTACTTCCCAGTAATTACTGTGTTCTTCAGGCTCCACCATACAAACCAGGAATCTGACCATTACATTTTATTATATTGCCCCCAGTAAGTGCAAGAGAAAATATGCAGGCTTGGGATTGAAAGCTGATTTTGAAGTGGATTGTCAGAGTTAAAAAAAGTTTTTTTTATATGCTGGGGAGCTATCTTCCAGGATGAGTGTCTTTGCTCCTGGTCTTTGTCTTTGACATGCCCTCCCCAGCCCCCATTTCTCATTGTTTTTGAATTGCTTCTGCTAAGGACAGACTTTTTAGAATTATCAGGCAGAACATGTTTTTGTTTTGTTTTGTTTTCTGATATCATGTCTAGTCCTGATATAACTCAAGTCTTCCCAGAAATGAAAGGCATCTCCTGGGTACTTGCTTAATTTATGCAGATTCCCTGGCTAACCTCTAGTAAATTTAAACTGCAAGCAGGTCCTGGGGAAAGTGTTTTTAAATAAGTTCTTCAGGCAGTTTTGATGCAACTGACCTGTGCCAATATTTGAGGGCAACTGAGTTGACGCTCTATAAAAGATCAGCACATGTCCACTGCAGTATACACTTAATCTCAAATTCACTAGTGAATGACTGAGTTTTGTTTTTCATTCTTTAATAACTAAGAAATACTTGTATTCATGTCTTCAAAGTGCCTTTCACTTAAGAAAATCAGTAGGAGGACTGTTTGGTCTAAAAATAGTCTACATTTTAGATGCAGAATATTTAATTTTTATACAAAATTTAAAAAGAGACTTGGGGTGTTCCAACATTTATCAATCATTTATTTATGACATTTTGCAGTGAAAATCAAAGAATGTGCACACCAGATGAAAAATTTTAAAATCCTGTGATAGGGATCCTTATGTAATGATATGAATATGCACTAGAGCTGCTGGAGAAAGCTAAGTAGCTCTAAAATATTGAGGAGTCAAATGTAAGGGTCTTGGTTTGCCCCTATTAAAGGTCTTCCTGAAATGTGGGAATCATATTAACAGTAGTAATGAATAAGTATTAATGTGCTGCTGGAATAAGCTACCTTAGTGTATTAACATTCATGAAACTTTAATAACTTCAACGCTGGGAAATGAAGCTTTGTGTGATCTGGTTTTCTGTCATCTTGTGCCTGTCTCTAGCTGTACTCCAGTATTCTTTGGGCTGTCCAGACATTTTAACTCAGAAGTTTATTTGTATATGATGTTCCCAGAAATTGCTTTTTCTTTCTGTTTATCTTTGCTCATGTAGGACAAAGGTCCCGAAACCTCTTCGAAATCCTCCAAGATTGAGAGTTACTTGGAGTGCCGAGTTCTGGTATTTTCTCTGTTTCTTCCTAGCCATGAGATTTTTGTACAGGTCACTTTCAGTCTTACATTCCTCATGTATTGTTTAAAGATGGGCTGCATTAAATTATTCTTTCCAGGTGTATGGTAGTCTATAATTCTGCTTAAATAGAAATAACAATTGAAAATGCATTGTAACATTCTTTATGATACTCAGGATCATACAGTTCTACCCCCCCCCCCAAAAAAAATCCATTGTAGCTGGTCCACAGTGTTACTTCCTGTATATTCATTTTGAGGTCCTGAAATGGAGTTGCTCTGCATTCTGAAGCAGGGTGAAAAGGTCTTTGCTTTGTTCTCCGGTTCATCCAGTTCTTAAGTTTCTTGTCATACTGGTATGTTCCCTTCCACAATCTCAGTCTGACCTCACAGAAACTCCTCCACACTATTGCTGAACAGCACCACCACAGGCTCTGGCACACTTGGAGTCCCTGGCCCAAAAGCAGAGTTCTGCTGGAATCTGTGCTCCTGAGGCTGTGTGGGTAAAAAGGGCGGTGGGAGGTGGGAGCTCTTCTCTCTTCACCACCTTCTCCACCCTGCATTACCAGCACACTTATGTCTACGGCATGTCTCCAAATAGAGAGTGGGGTTTGAATACTGGTGTCTCACCTTGAGAGCGGGCGGGAATACTGTGACCTAGACTCTTTGGGGACATGAAGTGTTGTCATCAGAGTAGGAACTATTGCAAGTAAATGTGTTTTATATATTAATCTTAAGACAATGATTGGTGCCTCTTTTATCCATTGTTTCTTTACTCACAAAAAGCATAACAGTTTTCCATTACTTTTATTACAGGAAAGAATGCATAACAAAAATTCCTACTTTTATAATTTTTAAGTATCTAGCTCAGTGGCATTAAGTACATCCCATTGTTGTGCAGCCATCTCTCTTGTACATCGCCAAACCTTATTTCATCTTCCTGATTTGAAACTACCTACTAAACAGTAACTCCATTTCCCTCCTCCTCCCAGACCCTGGTAACCACCATTCTGTTCTCTGATTTTTTTACTACTTTTAATAAGTACCTCATAGAAGCAGTATC